AAGAGAGGCCATAGATTTTAAAGAAGGGAGTGTTATAAGGGACAGCTTGGAAGGAGAAAATGATGTAATTATATTATAATCTCAAAAGCTAAAAGAAATAATTCAAACATTGTCTCAAAGAGGCTGAGTTTAGGCTGGTGGTTGCCAGTGGCTGGATTGAATGGAAAGAGGGAAGGAAGGCGATAGAAAGCAATAGGTACATGTTAAGTAAAATTTAAATAAGAGTACCACATTTTGTTGTTCTATGGTAAAACAGGTTAATGTATGAAAAATAACAGATTATGTATCTCAAAATAGAGAAAGGGAAAGTGAATGTAGTCACCATAAATACAATTTCTAAATGAAAGTAATGGATATGCTTATTTCTCCAGTCTACATGAATACCACATTATACATCATAAATATATAAAAATAAGCCTTAAAAGACAAACTTTTTAGATAAAAGATTTGAAGAAACAAATAATAAATGTGTCTGATTCATTTATAAACATGCTAGGTTGACAGAACTCTAGAAGATCCATCTCCTGGTTCCAAATGCCCAAACAGTCAGCATTCAGATATCTCACCCATACATACGGGGACCACCTCTAGGACTGGAAACTGCTGGGGAGCTATGACTTAGCAAAGTCCAAACAAATTGTCATTGGGTTGGCATCCTAGAGACAGTCTTAACCTATGCTAGCGGATTATTTTAGATCCACTTCAGATAGGCATAGAGGCAGACAGTAGAACCCAACTGTCTTTTGGAATTGAGACAGAAGATACGAGCATCATGTTAGCTTTTAAAAGTGACTTAATCTAGGCTTTTTCAGACCCAAGCCAGCTGGCCTTGGTGAGTTCCCAATAGAACATCCCCATTGTCTCAGTGTGTGGGTGCACCCCTCGCAGTCCTGAGTTCCATGCTCTTGCTCTCTCTCCTTCTGCTCCTGATTTGGACCTTGAGATTTCTGTCCGGTGCTCCAATGTGGGTCTCTGTCTCCTTTCATCGCCTGATGAAGGTTAATATTCAGGAGGATGCCTATATGGTTTTTTTTTGGGGGGGGGTTCTCCTTATTTAGCTCCTCTAGGATCACTAATTATGGGCTCAATGTCCTTTGTTCATGGCTAGAAACCAAATATGAGTGAGTACATCCCATGTTCCTCTTTTTGGGTCTGGCTTACCTCACTCAGGATAGTGTTTTCTATTTCCATCCATTTGTATGCAAAATTCAAGAAGTCCTTGTTTTTTTACTGCTGAGTAGTACTCTAAAACCGGACTCGCTGAACATAGCGAACAATGAGGACTACTGAGAACTCAAGAACAATGGCAATGGGTTTTTGATCCTACTGCACGTACTGGCTTTGTGGGAGCCTAGGCAGTTTGGATGCTCACCTAATTAGACCTGGATGGAGGTGGATGGTCCTTGGACTTCCCACAGGGCAGGGAACCCTGATGGCTCTTTGGGCTGATGAGGAGG